CTGCTTGTCCAATTCATGGGTGTGGGGAGGATGTGTTTGATAGGTCCTGTATTTTATGGCTTACCCTTGCGACCGATAGTGTGTCTTATCGTTATCTCAAAGTAACAACAAAATGAGTTGAGGCAACTGGTGAAACTCCACTTTTTGGGTCCCAGTTCGGATTGCAAAAAGCGTGGTACTGGGGTTTTTGTCTAGGCAAAGTCCTAAACACTGCTTTCAAGGCTGTTAATTTCCCCTTAGCATCAAGTTTTAGGTTGAGCACAAAAAAAAACCGTAAAGAGACCTTCATAAATCCCGTCCGTTTCCAAACCCTACCGGATCTCATCTCCTTTGTAGTCACTAATCTTACCCCTTCCCTCCGCTAAGATCCCTAGACCTGAACCAGCAATCCCTTCTCTCCCTTCCCTCACCTCTCCTCTCCCTTCCCTCACCTCTCCTCTCCCTTCCCTCACCTGCAGCCCTCTACCCCACAACTCCTCAGTCGTTGCAATTCGCGTTCTGAGCCGAGCCGAGTTTTAGCAGTTGCCAGGGAATGGTGATGTTCAACAAATACCCAAGGACTTCCCGGAACAGCGTTGGGGCGTTGTCAAGTGATTCTGACAGGATGGCTTTTGAGTTGGTAATCTCTTCGGCAGACGCAGAGTCGCCAGTAAAGTGGTTACCAGTTGATGCAGTTTTGGCCGAAGCAGTTGTGAAAGTGGAGAAATTGCTGGCTGCATAGGTGGTGAACCATACTATGAATTAACAGTTTTCCTGGTGTTCTAACCACCCCGAACTTACCATTTTTGCTTGATTCATGTGCTGCTAGGAAATGCCCATCCTCTCGAATACGCAATAATTGCCCCATTCTTGCAGCTGATTAATTTTTCGCGAATGAAATGAGGGGTAGGGGGAGGGGGAGCAAGGAAGCGATAGAAGAGCAAGTAAAAAATGGTTCAATGTTATTACGTGTATTACAGGTTTGCTTTGGCGGGGGGCAAATGTCTCGACGAGGAGGTGCACGAAAGCGACCGTCCGATGCGGACAAATTGAGTGACGAGGAGTACATGCTGAAACGACAGAGGAATAACGATGCTGTGAACAGGTAAGCGAACTCGTTCTTAGTTACGCTTATAGTCTTTTTATGTTTTTATTTTATATTCTTAATTTATAAACGATCCATGTTTTACTCGGTCCGTTTAATTTCCTTGCCTATTTTGTTCCGTACAACGTTACGTTTTTGTATGCGTAGCTGCATGATCTGTACTGCATTATTGATCAGTGGTCAGAATGAATGGGCCCGTACTCGCTAGGGGTAAAAATTCGGTTTTGTATATTTTTGACATGTTGGAATTTCCCGCCGTAACACAGCACTACCTGATCTGCTCGCTCCCAGAACATTATTGAGTCGGATCAAGCCTT